AGATTGTTAGCGACAACAGAGTTTTATCAATGAACCATGTGACAGGGAGAAAGCAGTTCTATTTAAAAGTCAGATGAAATTTCAAATTTGTGACTTGTTTGGCGGACCTGATAATGCTAAGTTGTTTTATATTACGAACACCTCCTGTAAAACGAAATAATTCAATCGTTGTAACTTCTTTTCTGTTTGCTGACGTTTCATTCCTAATCTTTAGTTTCAATGTTATAAAAAAAAGTCTTAACAATTGCACTCTTTGCTGCTTTAAAATTCTTTTTTTGTATTTGTGTTGTTGTTGCTGTTGATTGTAAGCCATTGTATTTCTTTCAAACAAGTTGAAAAGTCTCTAGTTTGTCAAGGACAGCGCAAAAGCTGTCAATCACAAGAGCTGCCAATTGCAAAAGCTGTCAATCACAATAGCCTCCTTACTGGCTTCCTGGATTGCTAGGCCAAATCAAAACGGTAGATCTTCAGGATGCACTGAAGCCGTTTTCCCGGACAGGGATCGCCAGGGTGCGCTAACCTTTGCCTAAGGTCTACAACCAGGCAAAAAATTGGGAGTAGACACCTTACTCTTTCATTTTAGACCCCTTACCGATTGGAGAGAGAAAAAGTAATAATCGCGAAGAGGTTATTCAACAAATAACCGTGACCCCTTACCTCAGCAGTGGTTTGAAGGAGAAAAAAATATTATTTTAAGAAAAGGATTCTCATGATGCGAACAAAGAATGAAAAAACCTTCAAAGTCAAGTAGAAGGCGTTCAGTAGCAGAAAAATTCAACGCCATTTGCATAAAATTGTATTAACTTTTAGATGACGTCATATTCTGATGGCGGTCAATTTTGTACCAGATACAATCCATAAAACTTAGTAACGCCTTTCTAATATCTATAACTTTTATAACAATCCATTAAATTGGGTGATTTAATTCTCTGGTGCTTGCTAGATTCCTTCTAGTTTCATGACCAATGCCTTGCAAGGTAACCACTTGAAACACCTCGTCAAAAATATCTGCTTCAAAAGATTGACTGTTTGATTGCAAAGATACGACAAAAAATTACAAAGACAAGTCATAAATAAGAACAAACCAAGTATTCGCCATCAGATCAATAAACTCGTTTTGTTTAAAAAATATTTTGGGACTGCACAAAAGCCTATAGATCCTCCAAACCAACGATCGGTACCATCACTGTTAATGTCCAGAAATATGCTATTATTTTCCGTTTTCCTTAAAATCGAATTATTTACGTTACGAACTGAATTTTCGCTCAAATTCTTTGCCTAATATTTCATTTCATACAAGAGTTTTTCAGCACCTCTTCGTTGTTGCCGTGCAAATACGATTTCTCCGGCTTTACTTCTTGCACTGAAAACTGCTTCTAGCGTATTCTATTCACCTCATTGGTGAGGTCTAATGTTGTCAGCACATTTCTTCCCAGAGAAGTGAAAAAATTTCAAGTAGAGAAATGTTATCTAACCTTTCTCAATGATTGCATGACTGAGTCCATATAGTGCTACTCACCTGGCGTACAAAATCCACACTGTGAGGCATGCATCTTCGACATTCTTTCTTGTATTGCATGAAGTTTTGTTTTCGTGCTACCGATGCCTTCAACTGTAGTAACAGCTAGGCCATGCATCGCACAAACAGGAGCAAGGCAAGCGTTCACTGACATGTGCTTAATCGTCTTCGTCTCCTTCTCGTACATTGACACCATCACAGTGCAAGCACCACAACCACCCTCCCCACATCCCAGTTTTGTTCCACATAAGCTCAGTTTTTCTCGTAAATAGAACAACAGAGTCCATTCTGGGTCAGGTTCTTTCTCCACGACTTTCCGCCCTGTAGATTTAAAATGACTGATTTACATTTTTACACTATTCCGAAACATAGCTAGCCTAATTACACACAAGCTATAAACTGGAGTATCTCATGTGTCGAAAGTGTACAAAAAGAAAGGGGCTTAAAGGTCAGAGTGTATGCTGAGCGAAAGTAAGGTCCGTACAAGCAACGGACAAATCGTGTGATATGCATATAGGGATTCCAAGCCCATTCAAGGAATAATAAACCATAAAAGTTGTCTTAATATCAATCTGTCTTTTGACTCTGAACCACTATGGTTATCGTATTGCTTATGTTGATAATTCTCGCGATGCTTTGATTAAATTCTATGAAAAACAGTTAACCAGAGCAAAAAATTAGATTTTCAGTCGATTCACTTCATTCTAAAAATATATTCTACTATATGTTGGATTTTCGCAGTTGTTTTATTTGCTTTCCTCAGCTTAGTAACAAACTCTTTCCAGGAATCAAGACTGCAAATTCTTCTAAAGAATCAACAAGAGGCTACTAACCGTTGACGTAGAATTCAAGCTGCGACGTCATCTCAAAATACAATATAATAAGCTGCAATCAATCTGAAACAAAAGAGGGTTTAAAAAACATTTAATCATTAAAAAATTCCTTGCTATCTTTCCCTAAAGTGCAACTGAAATGAAAAAATCTTAAGTCTTTTTCTTGATGTTCTCTGTCAAGTCAGTGCTCCTGATTTCGATGGTCAAGTCAGGAAATGTTAACGATTTTAAGTTGCGATTTTAAAGACTTTTTGTTGGAAAATCTGTGCGCGGTCTGTGAGGAATTTCAGTAATGTTTGATGCATTTAGGTTTTCAAGTCACTGAAGTGATGCTGGCTCAAGCACTGTATTTCAAGTGCGCTAAAAAACCAAACAATTCGCGATGTGGATGGAATTAGTGCTGTACTTGTGCTCTAAATATCACTAGCTATCTAACTTCTAGCCATATGCAAAGTATTTTCTTCCAAAATTCCGAGCCCACACGAAACATGCCAACTTTTTGCGTACAGTTTGTACTGTACCAAGACTTCATGCCGATCATTTACCTTTTGTGAATTATTGAGTGTGTCGAAAAAGGCCCGACACTAGATGATGTCAATTGCCGCTACAAGAAAAAGGCCGCTACAAGATGTCAATTTCTTCCGAATCGGAACCCTCGTCGATTTGCATAAATACTGGCGTGGCATCTTGAATATCTAGATTTTCAATACCATTTCTAAAGAGTATGGCTGGCCGTTTGTAACAATATTCAAACATGCACTGTTTATATTCAATAAAATCTATTTTCAATTCCAAACTCAATTTTTTGGCTTCATTTTACTCTTTCATAATTCAATATATCAAGTTTGTGATCTATTCAATTTTATCATTCAATACTTGAACTTATATTTAATCAATAACGTTTTTATTCAAAAATTTTTATTCCTATCTTAAAATTCATATTTAATCATATTTTATATTCAATCCTTGATTATTTATTTCAATTCGAAAATTTTACATTCACTCTTACTGGGAACGAGCATGTTAATTTGAAGTCGAGACCGTAATGTTTTAGCGGGAAAAATAAAAAATAGACAACTGTCTTACACCATATTACTATCAAATTGTTACAAATACTATTTTAAGCTACTTTTATGAAATAAACTTCTATAAGTTGATCACTGAGAAAAACGGCGTCTCTTGATTCATGAACTAAACATTTTTGCACAATCATTGCACCAAACTTTTAGAAAATTGTATCTAAAAGAGTTGGCCACAGAAACAAGTTTTAGGAGTCCCTCCTTAGCCCAAGATGGTTCTTGACGGTACTGCCAAAATGGCATTGGATGTTAAAATGAGGAGCTTTACGCACAGTAACAAGCGATTTAACATAAATTCCTCCATAACGGCGAATACTAAGACGGAGTATAATCTTACAGCTCACAACATGATGAAAGCGTTATTGTTCAAATAAACGTTACTGTTCGTGACAAAACAATATCTCTATTTTTCATATATTGTATTGTAACATTGAGATTAATTCGAATGAAGCAAATTATGTTTGCACTAACCAATAGTGCTATTAAAATTTTAACAAATCCTACCGCGTAGAAGTCCATTAAGTCAAATATACCTGAAGATTGCACGAAATACCGGAAACAAAGCACTTTTCGTGGGACGCTTTACAGAGTATAAACTTTGAATAAGCTCTCCCCCCCCCCCTTGACTAAACCCCTAACCTTAAGTAATTTTTGTGAAACAAACCCTCGAATAAGCCGCCATGTGCTGTGGTATTGCACTGACAGCAATTGGTTGTTGATTGATGGCATACAAGGTCTTAATTCTTTTCAACCAAAACACGACAGCCTCGACTTCAAATTGACGCGCTCGTTCCCAGTGAGATTAAATATAGAATTTGAGGATTGAATAGAAATTAAGATTAAATAAAATTTCAGGGATTGAATAAAACGTTAGAGATTGATTATAAAATTTAAGGACTGGAAAAAAACTAATCCAATATATTATTATCATTTTTATTGTTATCATATATTATTTATATACACGAAATCCAATCAGCAAAAACTAAATTTACAATCATTCAAAAGAAATATACAACTAGGGTGGGGTTGATCTTCCAGGGAGTCGTGCTTACAAATGTATTTTGAGGTGCTTTTTAAATTGTTTCAAAGTAGAAAGCTTCCTGATGGTAGTAGGGATTTCGTTCCAAGCCTTTAGACCAGAATAGTAAAAGCATTTCTTCGAGTACGGGATTCAAATATACATGGAGTTTATTGTTTTACAACTTGAGTACGTATTTCTCGATTTATATTAATCCCAAAAGCTTTCAGGGCGTATCTTATTCATCATCTTGTTGGTCATCATTTTTAATAGATGTTCTACAGTCAAACAGTCATCAGACCACTGATCCTTGATTTTCGCCCTTCCTATAATAGACTGAGCTCTATTTGAAGACGTTATGGAGTGCCTATACCTTTGTGTTGCAGAGAGCACCATGCAACGTTTTCATATCGTAAATGACTCTCTACCAGGGCATGGTAGATGTTAACCAGCTGGAATTGAGGAACAGTTTTCATTAACTTTATCAGAGACCATAGTCCACCAGAGACTTTCCCTTTAACTTTCCTAAATTTTTCGTTCCAATTTTATCCCTCGTCAACAATTATACCCAACGATTTTGTCTCCTTTACATGATTATTTCCTGAGCCATGCAAAATATGTGGCTCATGAGATGATATTTTGTTCGCTCTTCGTGGTTGCCCAGCTATCATGTATTCGGACTTTTTGTAAATTAATGCTTAGTTTGCTAATTCTCATTCACTCCGAAATATTCGTCACCCCCCCCCCCCGAGCGTTTTCAAGGAGTTCTTCCTTGCTATCAGACATCAAAGTCACATGAGTGTCATCTGCACCACACATACTCACTTTAGAAAGCTCAATGCAGTTTTCAAAATCATTCACATAGATGATGAATAAGAGTGGGCCCAGATAAGATCCTTGGGGAAATGCCACATGTAACCAAGCTTTCACTGGTTTTTTGACCACCGAAAGAGCAGTACTGTTTCCTATGACTCAAGTAGGAGGCAAACTAGTAACCTGCAACACCTCTAACGCCGATAGCGTTCAATTTCTTAACCATTATTTAGTGATCTATAGTATCGAAGGCTTTTATCAGATCAAGAAAAATTGACAAATTAAATTGCTTTTTGTCAATGTTTCCGTACCAGTTATCACTGCAATTCAGTATGACCAGATCTAGCATAATATAATACTTTCTGCATAATATTGACCAAAAATCGTCATTAAGCATAAAATCTAGCATAATTTGGAATCTTGCATAACTCTGGCATAATTTTGATAGTTTTTAAAGACATCGCTGTTTCCATTGATCCGTTGTCTATCACCACCAAATAGAAACATTTGACACAAGAATGTGTGACTTTCCACTTTCAGGGGTTTGGAACGGTCGGCAGCCAAATAATTTATGGTTGGCAGCCAAATTCAGCCAGCTAAATTCAATACACAAAAAAGCTAAATTTTTGACAATTGCGGGGAGTGATAGTATAATCAAAATTTGCTTTGTAGGTTACAAAGCTTTTATTTACTATTATCTTACATTGTCTGTTATCTTTTACGTTGTTTCATGTTTCTTTATTGCAATTTTGAAATCATTCTACAACAAATTTGAATATCATCTATGTAAAAAAATTATTTTCCTTTGCATTTTTTGTGATTTTTTGCAACATGCTGCCAGAATTCTGCCAACTTTTGCTTCTTCGGCCAAATAAATTTATGACGGCCAAGGGGTTAAGAAATTTGGATGTCAAAACCATTGATCTAAATTGCTTTGACAATTTGAGTACACTGTGTTTTAGATTTGAGTTCAAAAAGGCCAAATGGAAACTTTGGTCATTTTTGATATTCTGAGCATCCTCTAGCCTCTTTTACAAGCAGGGGTGCCTTGATTTGAAATTTAGCATAATTTTTACAAAACTAGCATTATTTTATGTAAAATCATCCACGGAAGTGTAAATTGGCGCCAAAAATTGAGTTTCGAACGAAAATAGATTTGATTGAACATAAACAGTGCATGTTTGAATATTGCTACAAACGGCCAGCCATATATGAGCACTCAAAAAGGGAGCGCCCATTAGAGGGCGCCTATTAGAGGGCGCTTATTAGAGAGAATACGGTAGGTCGACCAGCGCAGTGCATATAATCTCGGAAAATTCAATTTGTCTAAAGATAACTATTTAGCTGTTTTTTCGTCTTGCTAAATTTTGTAAGAGATAGAGACTGAAAATTGGCTTCGAAATATAAAGAACCTGAAAATTCGATACTTCCTTCAATGTTGTACATTATATTTTTGGTTCATATTTTAAGTTTTTGTTACTTTTATAGGAATGATTGCATTAATGTGGAATTATTTTTTCATCGGTATGTTTTAATTAATCGGGATTTTGGTCGAATACAATTTATCCATCTTTGACCGTGCCTTGAATGAACACCTTTAAAAGTATATTTCTAGGTCTTCATCCACAAATCTCGTTCTAAACCGAAATACGATAAATTTTATGATTTTGTGTACAAAACATATTTCAAAGCACCACAGTCCTCAAGACTAGAATCTAGTTCTACAGACTGGGGGAATAGGTCTTGAACAAAAGCACTTAGTAAATTGCTTGCTGCAATATTGAGCGATCATCTATCATGGGACTACCATATAGCCAATGTAACATCTTCATGGATCTATACCATGTCCATCATAGCAGTGGCGTGCTGGGGAAGAGATCGCAGGGGGGGGGAAAGGGTCAAAATGGCGCCCCACATATCTTCCAATTTTCCTTCAAAGTGTTGGAAATGTGCAGAAAAGTACAAGAGCTCGGAAGCACGCCAATCTATCTATCCATCTATCTATCTGTGGGGGGTACTGTAAGATCTTCAAATAGGTAATTACTGACAGGACGTGATAGCGAATTTTCAAATAGAGCATGTTATTTTTGTTAAAACTTAACATTATTTTTTAATATCGTTGTAGCGGCTGTATCATCAAACTGTACAATAATGATAATCAGGAACGTTACTATTGAGGGAGGTTGGGGGTAGGGAGGGGGCGGAAAGATCGTTCAGGAGTTTAGTAAAGGCGGCCACCATCGTTGGCGGCAAAAACTTGCAAAGTAGAGGGGCTAGGGATGTTCGGAAAATGAATCCAAACATGTACAACATCACTATAGACTCGTGGAAAATCCTTGAGAATACCTATAAGCTTTCTTCCAAATATGGCCCCAAGGCCGTAGCGAGACAGGCCTTGTTTGGGTTTACTACGAATTTGCCGGATTGAAAACCATTCTCCGCAATACATTGTGTCAATTCACAACATCTATTTACATATTATCATCAGACCTGCCAACCCTTTAGATCCATATATCGGAACAAGCCTAAGATATAGCTACACTATCCGAGGCGGCACCATGGTTGCCGCCTCGGGGAAAAAACTTCACCCGATCCTCGCTCCATTATCCAGTTAGTTCTACTAATGGTTGTACACCATTACTCAAGGACAACTTAAGTAATGCTCATAATACATAATACGTATTACACCATTAGTAAAGCACTACACATTAATGGTGATTTAGAATATTTTTCGTATAGAATTGGTATAGGGCTACATCGAGTATTTCAGTCGCACACTTTTTATCGATTGGATTTGTGGGTCGTTCTTACTCTTGTTTTCTTTTGTATTTGAAGGCAGTTTTGTACGATTATTCTCAGCTTTCGTAAGTACAATTCTTCTTCTAAATTTTATACAGAATTGCCAGTTTTTGTTTTCTTTATTTTTGAAGCACGAATCCATCCTGAATAGGATATGCCTATAATGATGACCACTAGCCTAGTAGTCCAGTCGAGTGCTTTTTGTGCTTTTGGGCAGAAATTTGATTAAGCAAGGCTTTACTAATATTCATCCCTTTGGGTAAAAATATCCCTGTTGGGTACCTTATGTAGGCTTTCATTGAAATTTTAGAGTCAAATGTTTCTGCCAGAATAATCTTAGGCCTCTGGCTCTGACCATCACGCAAAAAGAAACAGCTACAACTGGGAGTGAAAAGAAGGAAATAAAAATGAAAAGGAAAACATATATTACCTGCTCTGCACTTAGAAGGGTAGACAGCATCGCCTCCATTTTCTTGGTTTTCCACTCTCAGTTGAACCTGACGTAAAGCACAGGACGAAAAGAGTTGTTCTGCTCGATGCTATTTGCGACGTTTTGGATCGTTTTAGGCCATTCTGCGTAATTTTTGGGTCGTTACGGCTAGTTTTGGCCTGGTTTTTGCTGGTTATGGGTTGTTTTGGCTCGTTTTGGGTGATTCCATAGTTTAGTAAAACCGTTCAAAAAAGCTTTAAACTGTATCATTATTTAACAAGTATCATTCATTTTTCTTCAAAAATCCCCACTTTTAAATCTAATGCTAGGAAATTTTCCAGGCAACTTTTTGGGGAGGGGTTGCCCATTTACTGAAAGTACTGAATGTTCGTAACTTTTTCCTACTGTCCAGTACTCATTTCTTGTATTCAGTTTGTTATAATGAAATGTAGTTGATGTTCTCTCACCCTTTTTTATTCATTGACTTGTCATGTAGGTAAGATTGTTTTTTTATAACATAGGACCCTAGCTTTACTATATTGTACTAGTCTTTTAGAATGAAGTTTTCATTCAAAGTGAATGTATTTTTTAGATGAGTCTTCGAAGCCGTCGCCCTAAAGTTGCAAGAGAAAGATTTGTTTCCTCAAAGTTGGTAACAAAGAAAGCATGTTTGCCAGGAAATAACGTTTTAAGCAACGCATCTAAAGATCCAACTAATGTTTTAAATGAAGATGATTTGGTAGAAGAATTCACCTTTGAGGATCAAACTGATTGTGCAAACAACAAAGAAAAAAAGACCTATGAATACATAAAAAAAACAAATTGTGTGAATCATGGGCTAGCATTCTGCCAAAAATCAACCAGGCATTTGTTGAGAGCTTTGTTCCTTGGACAAATACCTGTTCTCAGTGTGAGAAAGAGACTTTTAATATTTGTCGTTGCCTGGATTGTGGAGCAGAATTGTTCTGTGAGGACTGTGCAAAGATTGTACACGAAAAAGCATGCTCCATGTATCTACATGTTCCAGAAGTTTGGAATGTATGTTCTTTTAGATTCTAAGTTTTGCAGACATATTCTGGTAGTTTACTACAAACAGTGTAAAGATACAGTAATTTACCTGTAGGTAAATTAGATTTTTTCAAATTAAACTTCAATTTATCCACATCCAACCTAAAGCTCTTTCCTTATGCTGTCTGAGTCTTTTAAGCTGTCATCTATGCTTATAACCACTTTACAAATTGTTCTTTAGGGATACATGTTTGAAAGAATGAATCTTTTAGTCTCTCTTGAAAGACAGTTTCATGTTGATTGCGCTACAAGGTACAACTAACATTGCTACAGCAGAATCCTAAAACATGGAATCGAAAACGAAAGGATTTGATGGAAATGGTGACGTCAAGGTGTTCATAGAGAAAGTTGAAGCACAATCATCGTTGAAAGGTTACGAGGGAGAAAAGGCCGCGCAAAACCTCGCCAGTTAATTGAAGGGCAGAGCATTTGATGTTTATATGAGATTGTCAACAACTGGAAAAAAGGACATAAACAAAACACACGGGGGTACCCTACACTGGAACTACATTCATTAATTTATCAATTCTTGTAAATTTATTTATTCGTTTGTTTATTTATTTATTTATCTGTTTCTTTAATATTTATTTATTTATTTCTTCATTCAGTCATTCAAATACATCCATTTTAGGCCATTTCCTGCATCATTTTTTAACCATCTCAAATTTCCGTCCCGTTACTTTTGTTGTGCATCACTTTTTTTCAGTTAGCGTTATTGTATCTCTTAATGCATTCATCACGTTTGCAATGTTTCTTCTTTTTGTTTTCTTCTGCTTTTGTTACTCAAAAATTTTTCTATCTTTTATCAATCGTAGAGATGATCAAAAATCAGAAGCTGATCCTAGGGAGTTGGAACGCTTAACTAAAAAGGAAAGCCTGTAAGGATCGTGTACAGTTTGCGTTTTTTCAAATGATAATTATCAAAGTCAATCATGGCATTAGCCGAGTTAGTCGTTCTTGTTGAGTTTGGAGCAATGAATAGGACTGAGTTAGGTTTTGAAATTGAATGGGACTGATCTTGACTTTTTTATAGGATTGAGGGAAAGTTAAAAAAGATGGAGGAAACTCACAAAATTAAGAAAAGATGGGGCACAACTGGCGAAAATTTCATCCGCATTTCAACCATGCTCAATCGAAGAAAACAAGCTGAAATTTTAAGAACAGCCCATAAATGTGCCGTTGAACGCAGCTGGCTGCTTTTGCTAAAGAAAAGATACTTCGGTATGTCTCGTTGTAACTACAGTAGGATCACAGTAAGGTTTATCACAAGAACTAAAGTAACTTCAGTAGGGTTTATTATTATCGGTTCAAAAAATGGTTCAAGAATCCGTTAAGAGCGATAGTCTGTAAAATTCCAAAAACATTTTATTGCTAAAATTTCAGTTCGAGGGCAGTTTGAAATCATAAATTTTTAACCAAATTAGAGTATTTATTTATCCTTGTGTTTATCCAGGCTTGTTGAACTGGTAAAACAATTACTTGATGTCGTAAGGTTCGAGAAAAAGTTTTAGAAGGCAATATTGGGATCGAAATAGTCATTTTCCCTTCAAGTTGTTCGCCAGACTATTTTGTTGCCGCTTTCCTCAACAATTTTTAAATTGCATGGTAGCTTTTCTCTGTTCTGCCAATTTTATTAGAATTGAGCTTCGTATTTTTGACAATAGATGGCCAGAAAGTTGCCAAGAGGCTAACACGAAGTGTCAACAAGGTTTCAGGAAGGATAAGAGTGGCGGTGAAAGAATATAATGAGATAGCAGGCTCTTTGAATTCGAGTTCTATCGAATTCTACGAGGCTTGTAAGGTCGATTCTCACATTTACAAACACCTCGATAATTCATATCAGGTAATTATTTTTACTGTAATTAGTAGTAATCAGGGGCGTCGCCAAAGGGGGTACGGGGGCGCGATAAAGGATTTTTGCCGGGCAAAAAACATTTTTTTACTAATTCTGTAGCCTTTTTGCAACAATTATAACGTATTAACATTTCTGTAGTAGTTGAACTTTCAAAGTATGGCACTAAAGTATGAATTTAGAAACAGAAACGCAAAAAACAGGATATAAGGCTCTTTTTATCTTTTAACCACTTCCTCAAAGAGTGAGACACGCCTTTTTTGTCGGCAAAAATTTGCCCCTCCGAAAATTTTTTCTTGGCTTTGCCCCTGGTTGTAATGAACAATAATGTACACCACCATGGGCTCCGACGTAGGTTGGAAAGTGGAGGGGCCAAGAGAAAATATTACAATCATAACAAAAGGTTTTAAAAAAGCTCCGGTGTTTTGCAAAAAAGTGAGGGGGCCATGGCTTCCCTCTACGAAAAAACTAAATGAAAATAAATATCTATGGAAAATAAATGAAAAAACTTGACCTTAGCATGGTATCTTATCTAACGATATTTTGCTCTCATCTAGAGCGTCAATTCTTCGAATAATGAAATAAATATTTTGGAATATGTTCAATAGTTTTTTCTGTCAATCTTTCTATATTTTGTTCTCTTCAGCTCAACCGCACTGACTGTTTCTTATACGAATAAGGGTTTAAGCCTTATACGTTTTGTTTATTCACATCTAGCCTTTGACAAGTGAATTTGTTTTTTTATGGCAATTTTTATTGAACCATTGCAATAGGAAACAATTTCTTTTTCAGCATATTGGAGCCGTCGAACCAGCAATAATTCGACAAGCTATTGATACCCACAGCCTGTACAAAAGGGCAGTGGAGGAACAAAAAATTGTCAAAGAAGAAATGGTATCTGTCATCAGACATTTACTTGATTTGGTAGCTGGTCTTGACCAGCTAAAATCAAATCTCAAGGACGACAGCGATTCCATTTATTCAAGGGGTCTTCACGCCATCGTCTGTCGAAAACGGGTAGTATTGCAACAACGAGTTGAAGGATTCAGAAATGTTTTCTACCCGTACGTCCCTGATTTGCTTCAAGAACCACAGCTGGCTGTAGACTCAACAACTGAATGCTCAACAATTGAATCTTCTAACGAAGACCTTGATTCTGATGATGCAGTAATCTACCAAATTGCCCTACAAGCCTACAACGCTGAAGAAGATTCATGGGATGAATACTTGGATTGTGATGACGATGACTAAGATCATTTGGGCAGCTTATGTTAGATTACGTTTTGTTATTTTTATGTACATGGGAAGTAGTGTAACCAAGGATATGGTTTTCTCAGGGGGAGTATTTTTCTTTTTATGTTGTGAGAAACATGCTGTTTCATAAGCCCTGTTTACACAACAACTTTTTACCTGGGCTAATGCTAACGTGAACTTTTTGTGTTGTACTATCTAAAGTTATACCTTTAGACTTTCAGGAGTACTGTTAGGACAACTAAAGCCTCACAAAACACGGTGTATGACAAAGGGATCTACTTATACGTTAAACGATACGAGATTCGACAGGAAAGAAACATGATAATCGTTACATGATATTTAAGGCATTCTCTTTGTCAGTACAACCTACCTTATCTATGGCCTTTGATCGGGACCAACCACTAGCTTTAAACCGTTCAGACTTTTGCAAACCATAGAGTAAATAAAAATCCTATTCCCTACGCGTAGATTTAAAAGTTTGATTTATTCATTTTCTGCATGCAGCTCTATTATCAAGTATTTGCCATTTTTTGCCTGTTATCTTTTAGTTAAATTCTTTGAAAAGCCTCCCAGTCGAGTAATTCGACTGAAAACTTCGTGGGAGTCTTGCTGCATTGCGAAACTATGGATGCAAATTCCTGTGCTAGTCAAGTCAACCGACTAAGAACTTCGCGGGAGTCTTGCTGCGTTGCGAAACTTTAGATGCAAATTCCTGTGCTAGTCAAGTCAACCGACTAAGAACTTCGCGGGAGTCTTGCTGCGTTGCGAAACTATAGATGCAAATTCCTGTGCTAGTCAAGTCAACCGACTAAAAACTTCGCGGGAGTCTTGCTGCGTTGCGAAACTATAGATGCAAATTCCTGTGCTAGTCAAGTCAACCGACTAAGAACTTCGCGGGAGTCTTGCTGCGTTGCGAAACTATAGATACAAATTCCTGTGCTAGTCAAGTCAACCGACTAAGAACTTCGCGGGAGTCTTGCTGCGTTGCGAAACTATAGATGCAAATTCCTGTGCTAGTCAAGTCAACCGACTAAGAACTTCGCGGGAGTCTTTCTGCGTTGCGAAACTATAGATGCAAATTCCTGTGCTAGTCAAGTCAACCGACTAAGAACTTCGCGGGAGTCTTGCTGCGTTGCGAAACTATAGATGCAAATTCCTGTGCTAGTCAAGTCAACCGACTAAAAACTTCGCGGGAGTCTTGCTGCGTTGCGAAACTATAGATGCAAATTCCTGTGCTAGTCAAGTCAACCGACTAAGAACTTCGCGGGAGTCTTGCTGCGTTGCGAAACTATAGATGCAAATTCCTGTGCCAGTCAAGTCAACCGACTAAGAACTTCGCGGGAGTCTTGCTGCGTTGCGAAACTATAGATGCAAATTCCTGTGCTAGTCAAGTCAACCGACTAAGAACTTCGCGGAACTCTATTTAACGCAAAGAATAATATCAATTTTATGCGAATTCTTAGAAACAGTCATCAAACCTGATATAATTTTAGGGTTTCCCTGTTCAAAATATCATAATGAACCCAGATCCATAATTATTTTGGGCATATCGGACCCAGATGAATGATTATTTGGGTATATAGGGTGATGCGAGTTAATAATATCAATTTTATGCGAATTCATAGAAACAGTAATCAAATCCCGCTGAACATGATATCATTATAGGTTTTCCCTGTTCAAAATATCACAATGAACCCAGATCCATAATTATTTTGGGCATATCGGACCAAGATGAATGATTATTTGGGTATATAGGGTGATGCGAGTTAATAATATCAATTTTATGCGAATTCATAGAAACAGTAATCAAACCCCGCTGAACATGATATCATTATAGGGTTTCCCTGTTCAAAATATCATAATGAACCCAGATCCATAATTATTTTGGGCATATCGGACCCAGATGAATGATTATTTGGGTATATAGGGTGATGCGAGTTAATAATATCAATTTTATGCGAATTCATAGAAACAGTAATCAAACCCCGCTGAACATGATATCATTATAGGGTTTCCCTGTTCAAAATATCATAATGAACCCAGATCCATAATTTTTTGGGGCATATCGGACCCAGATGAATGATTATTTGGGTATATAGGGTGATGCGAATTAATAATATCAATTTTATGCGAATTCATAGAAACAGTAATCAAACCCCGCTGAACATGATATCATTATAGGGTTTCCCTGTTCAAAATATCATAATGAACCCAGATCCATAATTATTTTGGGCATATCGGACCCAGATGAATGATTATTTGGGTATATAGGGTGATGCGAGTTAATAATATCAATTTTATGCGAATTCATAGAAACAGTAATCAAATCCCGCTGAACATGATATCATTATAGGTTTTCCCTGTTCAAAATATCACAATGAACCCAGATCCATAATTATTTTGGGCATATCGGACCAAGATGAATGATTATTTGGGTATATAGGGTGATGCGAGTTAATAATATCAATTTTATGCGAATTCATAGAAACAGTAATCAAACCCCGCTGAACATGATATCATTATAGGGTTTCCCTGTTCAAAATATCATAATGAACCCAGATCCATAATTATTTTGGGCATATCGGACCCAGATGGATGATTATTTGGGTATATAGGGTGATGCGAGTTAATAATATCAATTTTATGCGAATTCATAGAAACAGTAATCAAACCCCGCTGAACATGATATCATTATAGGGTTTCCCTGTTCAAAAGATCATAATGAACCCAGATCCATAATTATTTTGGGCATATCGGACCCAGATGAATGATTATTTGGGTATATAGGGTGATGCGAGTTAATAATATCAATTTTATGCGAATTCATAGAAACAGTAATCAAACCCCGCTGAACATGATATCATTATAGGGTTTCCCTGTTCAAAATATCATAATGAATCCAAATCAATAATTATTTTGGTATGTAAGAATTTTCAAGAGCTCTTTGGGAAGTTGCGGCCATTGATTACAGTGGGAAAATTATTAGTGCAGTGTCTTCTGTCGGAAAACACGTTCAAAATAGGCTTTAAAGATAGCCGTGTTTTGTCACAGTTTTATAAAATAGCACGGCTTTTGCAATGTACGAAGAATGTGGAGGAATGGTACTTCGATATTATGAATTGGCGATGTGGACAAAACTGATGATGATGATGATTGATGATGATGATGATAATGATGATGATTGATGATGATGATTGATGATTGATGATTATGATGATGATGATGATGATTATAATGATGGTGATTATGATGACGACGATGACAATGATGACGACAACGAAGATTCCAAATGTATTAAAAGTCTGAACTTTTCTAGATGCGCTTCCAGTCTGTTTCCCAGACAACTAAGAACCTTTATGTTTTATGAGAATGCCTAAAAAAACGGCGGCACAAGCTATGACGCAGCAACTTTACACAACTCATATATTGGGGCTCTGTGAGTGGGACCTAACTGGGATTTTGTTTTTTTGATATGACGAAGGACATTTTTTGCTTGATAGCATAACACGAAAAATTATTTTTATTCGGTTGCTTTATCAAAATGCGTTTCGCATATTTACAGTTTCTTGATAAACGGCGGGAACTGCTATGACGCAGTAAGTTTACAAACCCAGATCTTTGGATTCCACTATCAACCTTTGCAGAAGGAGAAATCGATGCGTGCCTAACGATCTCTAACGACCCGCGCTGACAAAACGGTTCCAGCATAATGATCTCGCGGCAGTGCAATTACTTGATTACGAAGGGGAATCTTTCGTACGTAATTGTGAGCAGCCAAACTTTTAATTTCGTAAACTTCCTAGTTGCGAGTGCAAAGATTTCTTTAATTCGGCAATTGAACCGTTTGATTAAGAAATGTAGTCACAGTTCCCCAAATTATTAATTTATCATTCTCGTAACTGTTAGTCTGACAGACTTTTAACAAATTCCCGTTGTTTCTATGTTTTTCCTACACCAAACTACCTTATCCAACGGGGTCTGAAGAATTTGGAATGAATTTTGGATAAACCCTAGAGAAAACTGGAAAGTACCTGCAAGCATTTTGCGACAATTTTGCATAGCCTGGAAACTTTCGAATAACTTTCACCGACTTTGCAAAACTTGCGAAAAACTAAACAGATTTCTGATACTTGCAATATATTCGAATTTCCCGCCCTTGCTTCAGACTCTTTAAATGTCCCGAGTTCCTTGCATGAAAGTTAATTCTTGCAGAAACTCGTGAAACGTGAAATCGCATATTCCCGCACTTTCTTTTGTATCCCACATAGCAAATTGCAAATTATACGTCTAATTACGTTGACGCTTGACAGGATGAAAGCACCATTCTCGATTACGAGAAGTTTCTGATCTATTCTGGCTACCGTTCAACATGCACGTGCAGAACCAATTTTAACTGTAAAATGTCACGAGCAAAACTAAAGGCCATTGGTCAAATCGAAGAGGATGACCACAAAGGGGATCTCAGGCTAGCAGCCGAACCCAATTTAATAGCACGATTATCGACCTAAGTGTCGATTAGCGAACCTCAATTGCCCACTTAATCGGGAAACTCACGATTCTCGATTGTTCGTTTGGGAAAATTGGGAAAATCCTTTGATTTCGGCATTCAATGCCTGCATTGTTTCGATTGTCTCACGCCTTTGAATTCGGCTTCTATGTGTCCATTGTTGAACTCATCAAAATGCCGATCCATTGTTACACAATTGGCAACAATTCTACATATATATATATATATATATGGATGCCCATCGAGCCGACGAAAATCCCCCCTTCATGTACTCATTCTTCGTACATAAATATATTGGGGCTCTGTGATATGAACCTAACTGGGATTTTGTTTATTTGATTTGACGAAGGACATTTTCGCTTGATAACATAACACGAATAATTATTCTTATTCGGTTGCTTCTCAAAATGCGTTTCGCATATATACAGTTTCTTGATAAACGGCGGGAACTGCTATGACGCAGTAAGTTTACAAACCCAGATCTTTGGATTCCACTATCAACCTTTGCAAGAAGGAGAAATCGATGCGTGCCTAACGATCTCTAACGACCCGCGCTGACAAAACGGTTCCAGCATAATGATCTCGCGGCAGTGCAATTACTTGATTAGGAAGGGGAATCTTTCGTACGTAATTGTGAGCAGCCAAACTTTTAATTTCGTAAACTTCCTAGTTGCGAGTGCAAAGATTTCTTTAATTCGGCAATTGAACCTTTTTTTTAAGAAATGTAGTCACAGTTCCCCAAATTATAATTGATCATTCTCGTAACTTGTTAGTCTGACAGACTTTTAACAAATTTCCATTGTTTGTATACTTTTCCTACGCCAAACTACTTTATCCAACGGGGTCTGAAGAATTTGGAATGAATTTTGGATCAACCCCCCATCAACCCTAGAGAAAACTGAAAAGTACCTGCCAGCATTTTGCGACAATTTTGCATAGCCTGGAAACCTTCAAATAACTTTCGCCAACTTTGCAAAACATGAGAAAACTAAACAGATTTTGTAACACTTGCAATATATTCGAATTTCCCGCCCTTGCTTCAGACTCTTTAATTGTCCCGAGTTCCTTGCATGAAAGTTAATTCTTGCAGAAACTCGTGAAACGTGAAATCGCATATTCCCGCACTTTCTTTTGTATCCTACATAGAAAATTGCAAATTATACGTCTAATTGCGTTGACACTTGACAGGATGAAAGCACCATTCTCGATTACAAGAAGTTTCTGATCTATTCTGGCTACCGTTCAACATGCACGTGCAGAACCAATTTTAACTGCACAACGTCACGAGCAAAACTAAAGGTGATTGGTCGAATCTAAGAGGATGACCACAAAGGGGATCTCAGGCTAGCAGCCGAACCCAATTTAATAGCACGATTATAGACCTAAGTGTCGATTAGCGAACCTCAATTGCCCACTTAATCGGGAAACTCACGATTCGCGATTGTTCGTTTGGGAAAATTGGGAAAATCCTTTGATTTTGGCATTCTATGCCTGCATTGTTTCGATTGTCTCCCGCCTTTGAATTCGGCTTCTATGTTGCCATTGTTGAACTCATCAAAATGCCGATCCATTGTTACACAATTGGCAACAATTCTACATATATATATATATATATATATATATATGGATGCCCATCGAGCCGAGCAAAATCCCCCCTTCATGTACTCATTCTTCGTACATAAAAAGCAACATAAGTAGGAAATCCCAAGGAAATGTTAGATAATAGAAGTGTTAACGACTGAGTCCTATGTGTGCAATTACTATAAATCCGATTACCTTAATGAGAGGACTGGTAACAGAGCAGTTTACAAACAAGTATACAATAGGGTGCAGAGCTATGTGTGCATATTAATGTAAAACTGGGAATAATTTGCACAAACGGCAATAAACACAATGGCGGCCTTCATCATAAAGTGTCCCTGTATCTCACACAACCAAATAAGGAAAGATCAGTCTCTAGCCGCTGGTTGGCCACACCTGAGCGACTAGAATTTGAACAATGGAAAATATATGTTCAATTTGTTTTCGACATCATGCAATGAACCAATCACAAATATGCAGCATTGAAAATGCCCAACACCTCCCGCAAGTAGTATGTAAATGGGTGAGAATCGAGCCGCTGCGTAGGGTTGGGAGTTGCGAGTAGGTAAAAATAAATGCGGTGGTAGTAGTAGATTGGAATGTCATATTGTGGTTGGCAGCACTAGATTGGGTCGATTAATTTGGAACACATTCAATCGAAATGCCTGGAAACCAGCCGAAAAGAGCCAGAATGGATATGGGTCCATATAAAGCTCGCTTAGAAGCAGCATGGATGAATGGCTTAACAGATTATTCAAGTGAAGCCAATGTTAGAATGATCCGAGATTTGTCGTCGGAACTCAGTTTGCCAGAGAAAAGGATAAAGGTAGGCTGCCGCCTAGCAAATTAATAATTCTTTATCTCAATTCATGCGGGGGGGGGGGAGAGAAAAGTTGGGAAAATGTCGCCCCAGTCAGAAAATTGTAAGAATTAAATGTTTTTATTGTCTTGATACAAAAGTTGAAGTGTTTTTCAACTTTTAAACAGATCTTTGGGATACACAGTTAATTATTATTGTTGAATCCCAGAATCATTTGAAAAAAGATTGTCTATGTATACAAATTAATTTCTGTTGCACAAGCAAACCCAGCGTGGACTATATGCTAAGCGCCATAGTTTTTTATCGAAAGGGGTTACAATACGTTTTGAAAGTAAGTGTAGAATTAATGGTAAAAATTAAGATTTCGCTACCATGCATACTGTGATGGGTCTTTCAGCACTGGATTGATAATCGGAAGCAGAAAGAAAAGAGGATTGTTGCCCCCCTTTCGAAGAAGCAAAAGATAAAAGCTAAGCTGTACAAGAGAAGACTTTGTGGGTTTGATTTCTTCAAAAGAGAACTTTTGTCAGCTGAAGGTATTATATTACCCAACTGCATCAACTTCATTTTACTTACTTAGAGGTTACTCTGTAGTTTTATGTTTAATAGGTGATTAACTCATGAATGGGTGACAAGGTTGTAATACATCTCTTTGCTCAGGGCCATCGCTAAA